AGAGTATGTTGTGCAAACAATATTGTATAAAAATAGGAGAAAAGAGGAAACAAAATGAAATAATAAACATAAATAGAAATATAAAAAGTAATAGAGTAAGATGAAAAGAAAACAAGTCCTATCAGCAGTTATAATGACTGTATTAGAGTATATTTAGTAAAAGACATGCTGATTTGATTAAACCCAGCTATACTACATTGTTTACAAGCATCATACCAAAATAATAATGTGGAAGTAACTTTAGAGCCACAAGAGATGCAAACAAAAAGAAAGCATGAGTGGAATTTTAGTAACAAGGGAGATGGAGTTAAGGATTAAAAGCAGTAGACAGGATAAAGGAGCACATTTTGTAATAGGCACAGTTTATAGGAACAGAACAAGTAAATGTAAAGCCTCCCCTAAAATAGTTAAAATTCAAGAAATTCAACATGGTGAAACCCGGCCTCTACTGAAAAGACAAAAATTATGGTATGGTGGCATGCGCCTGTAATCCCAGCTCCTTGGGAGGTTGAGGCACAAGAATTGCTTGAACCTGTGAGCCAAGATAGCGCCCCTGCACTCCCGCCTGGGAGACAGAGCAAGGCTCCATCTCAAAAAATGAAAACAATGAATACAATTGTGGGAGATTTTAATATATCTTGAAAATTAAACTGGTTTATCAGTTAAATAAGAATAATGGATTTTAACTGTAAAATAAATAAGAGGATTCATTTTCATAGAAATGTATATATTTGGCCATCTTTTGTAATAATGGAAAGATTAATAAAAAGAGCTATCATTAAAGCAAGGCAAACAACAATAACAAAAAGAGAAATGGTGTCCAGATCCTGGTTTCTAAGAACCAGTCTCCACTAAAAGGAATGTGGAGAAATGGCTGATTCTGGGGTTGTGATAGGTCAGACACAGAATGAGTGTGGTATCAGAAACCTAGAAAATGTTCAACAAATTAAGAGTGCCCACTTCAAAAGCACCTGTACTAAAATTGGAACAATAGAGAGATGATTAGCATGGATGACACATGAATTAGTAAAGCATTTCATATTCTTGTAAATTGTGTATGTATATTTTATCACAGTAAAAAAACAAAAAAACAGGCCGGGCGCGGTGGCTCAAGCCTGTAATCCCAGCACTTTGGGAGGCCGAGACGGGCGGATCACGAGGTCGGGAGATCGAGACCATCCTGGTTAACACGGTGAAACCCCGTCTCTACTAAAAAATACAAAAAACTAGCCGGGCGAGGTGGCGGGCGCCTGTAGTCCCAGCTACTCAGGAGGCTGAGGCAGGAGAATGGCGTGAACCCGGGAGGCGGAGCTTGCAGTGAGCTGAGATCCGGCCACTGCACTCCAGCCTGGGTGACAGAGCGAGACTCCGTCTCAAAAAAAAAAAAAAAACAAAAAAACAAAAAAACACCAAAAGGATGTAGTTATATCAGAGGGAGACGGGAGCCAACTGAAAGAGCTCCCAAATAGCCAAACTGATAACAGTTGGATTATAATTTAGACCAAGGGACACTCTATGAAATACCTGATGAGTTCTCTTCTAAATACTGAAAAACACAGAAAGGAGATTAAGGAGACATGATGACTTCATGCGTTGTATCCTAGATTGGATCCTGGAACAAAAATGGGGTATTATAAATAGCTGGTAAATTTCTTTCTTTCTTTCTTTTTTTCTTTTTCTTTGAGACAGTCTGGCTCTGTCGCCCAGGCTAGAGGGCAGTGGTGCAATCTTGGCTCACGGCAACCTCTGCCTCCCAGGTTCAAGCAATTCTTGTGCCTCAGCCTCCTGAGTAGCTGCGATTACAGGCACGCACCACCATGCCTGGCTGATTTTTGTATTTTTAGTAGAAACGGTGTTTTGCCGTGTTGGCCAGTCTGGCCTCAAACTCATAGCCTCAAGTGATCTGCCGGATTTTTGTATTTTTAGTAGAAACAGTGTTTCACCATGTTGGCCAGTCTGGCTGCGAATTCCTGGCTTCAAGTGATCTGCCGGCCTTTCCCTCCCAGAGTGTTAGAATTACAGGCGTGAGCCACATTGCCCAGCCAGTAAATTTCCAAGGCTAGAGTTTAGTTCATAATAGTGGACCAGTGATGGTTTCTTTTTTGACATGTGTGATGGAAATATTAAGGTGTTAACATTAGGGTAAGAGATATAAGGGTATTCTGAATTGTCTTCGTAACTTTTCTGCAAATCTAATATTATTTTTCAAACTTAGTTTACTACAATAAATAGACTTTCACAACTGAGGCTGTTCTAACTTTTAATGAACAGAGCATTCTGATGTTATTTAAACAATTCAGGATAGAGAAATAAAATGCTCTTTAGTTTATTTTAAACAGCTTGTAAAAATCTTGGGTTTATGAAATGGGACCTCTGAAGCTACACAGACACAAACCCTAAGAAGCAAAAATTCTACCCCACCTACACAGGAAGACAGCAGATGACAGTAGAGCTTCTCTGCATCTGGTTGGTTAGGAGTAGAAAAGAAATAGCCACTGAGATTAAATCCTAGCCTTGATTTTCAACGAGTTTGGAGTTTGAAATTTATACCTGCAAGAGTAATGGAATCCTCAAATTGAGAAATGAATGTAAATGCCGGCTGGGTGCGGTGGCTCACGCCTGTAATCTCAGCACTTTGGGAGGCCGAGGCAGGCAGATCACTTGAGGCCAGGAGTTTGAGGCCAGCCTGGCTGACATGGTGAAACACCGTCTCTACTAAAAATACAAAAATTAGCCCCGCGTGGTGGCACACACGTGTAATCCCAGCTACTCAGGAGACTGAGGCACGGGAATCGCTTGAACCCAAGAGGCAGAGGTTGCAATGAGCCAAGATTGTGCCATTGTACTCCAGCCTGGCGACAGAGCCAGACTCTGTCTCAAAATTTAAAAAAAAGAAAATGTAAATTTTCATTTTAGATCATCTAGCAAAAAGTTTTTAAAACTGAATTTTGGAGAAAATAATATAGGGCTAGGTAGTTAATTTTATCAAACACATTTTTATCTTGAAATTTTTATATTCTTGTATTTAAGATACTGTTTCTTCAATTTATTGTAATTTTTAAAAAACAGAACTTTAATTTGCCCTGCTTTTATAGGAAAAAATATAGCAAATATTGAAAACAGTGGCCATAAATTCTGGAAATACAGGGAAGTATACACATTAGTTTAATGTGACAATACTTGGTAAGATTGTGGCTATCATATGATGTATTCAGCATGTTGTCCCTCATTCACAGTGGATGGTTCAGTACACAGGTTCAAATTGCAAGAGCACTGCATTAATAGTTTCATCAATCTCTATACATGCTTGTATGATTTACTGTCTCAGATGATTTATGTCAATTGTTTTTACTAAATCTGGGTAAACCTGGATTTGGAAATAAGACTATATTATGTTCTCTTTAGTGTGCGAGTGTATGGAATTTGAAAATATGCATTTTATTTTAATCCCAAGTTAGGAACTAAAAACCTACCTTTTTTCTTGTAAGACTGTTACTACTACATCTCAGGCAAATTCTCATTTTCATAATGCATATCTTCACAAATTTCAAATTTTTCAGGGTGGAAATTGCCCAGTTGTACCAGATGTTGCTCTGCTTGATATTGGTGCAATTTGCTGGGATTCAGATTCTGGCATTGCTACTTAATTGTGTGACTGTGGATAAGTTGATTAACCTCATTGCATTTCAGTTTTTTCATTTATAAAGTATTAATAATGTCATATAAGGTTATTGGGGGGATTAAAGAAATTAATAGATACAAAGCACACATGGCACATGATGCTATTTTCTAACTGCTGTTATAAGTACACTACTATCAGCTGGGCGTGGTGGCTCACGCCTGTAATCCCAGCACTTTGGGAGGCCGAGGCAGGCGGATCACGAAGTCAGGAGATCGAGACCATCCTGGCTAACATGGTGAAACCCCGTCTCTACTAAAAATACAAAAAATTAGCCAGGCGTGGTGGCGGGCGCCTGTAGTCCCAGCTACTTGGGAGGCTGAGGCAGGAGAATGGCGTGAACCTGGGAGGCGGAGCTTGCAGTGAGCCGAGATCGCGTCACTGCACTCCAGCCTGAGTAACAGAGTGAGACTCTATCTCAAAAAAAAAAAAAAAAAAGTAAGTACACTACTGTCTCTGCCCATAGTATTTTTTCTTTTGTTATTTTCATATTTTGTTTTCACTTCAAGTGCTTTGACTTTTTGTAATATAAGAATATTAAATTCTTGCAAGAAAATTTCTTTGAAATTTTTGTTTGAGTAAAATGATTTTAATGAAATGAAAGCTATGATTTATATTACTGGATCACCAGTGTGAATAGAATTACAAATAAATAGCCTCTTTTATTTTTATGTGGTTTATTTAGAGTAGGAAAGTAGCTCTTGTAACTCCCTGGTCTATTGCACTTTTTGCAGTTCCCCTTTTCTAATGCTTTTATCCTACAATTAGCCGTAAGGTTTTTGCTTTTTTCCCCCGAAATTTTGCTTTTTTCCCCCAAAATCAGTGTTTATTCGTGTTCAAATAGATGCAGTATTTGGATGTAGTATTTAGATATGGTATTTAGTTACTAAGGATTATGTTTAAAATCCATGATATTGTATGTATTTGAAGTTTAACAGTGGAATTTAATACTTTAAAACAAATGTACTTATAGCCCTGACATAATGTAATCATACTACAAGACTAAATGCTTGTTCCATGATTGCTGGTCTTGTACATAATGTTTTTTTGTTCTGATTTTGGAATTGTCCTCAAGACAATCTCGTTCAACGTTTATTCCTTTATTTATTTGTTTTTAAACAACTAAAAAAAATTTACAGTAAAATTTTACAAATTGAGTTTCATTTATTGGTATAGTTTTGTTATTTTATAGTATCACTCTTTATATGGCAAAGAAGCTATGATTTGCTTTTAATAAGCTTATTGTAAGTATGCCATTAACTTTTTCATTTTGAAAACTGTATTTCCTGTTAGAATAAAACTATATAAATTTCTTTTTTAGGAAAGAATACCCACCTCATGTCCAAAAAGTTGAAATTAATCCTGTAAGGTTAAGTCGGCTCCAAGGTGTTGGTAAGTGTGCAGTTTTGTTACACCTGTGAAGGATTTCAAATTGCTGTATGAAAAGTACAATGGAGATATGATGCTGGCTTTAGAATATTCCCAGGTATAATAGATATATATGAAAAACCATTTTTTGTAATGGATTTGAGAATTTCTTTAATGGTAACCTGATACCTGGAACAGTTGCACAGTTAGGTGATTACAGTTTGAAATCTTTTGATTATTTTAGCATTTTTGTTATGTTACAAATGCAAATAGTAACTGTAGTTGAGCTATAGCTTTGAAATTGAGTTTTATTAAACTGTGTTATAATGTTGTATTATGTAATTGTGTTTCCACTTACTGGTTTTGCTCCTAAAATTTAGAATACATTAGAGAAACACTCAGTTAAAAAGAGACCACACCTGCTACAACTGTGTTACTAGTAGATACTGGAAAATCATTGTGAGTATAAATTTATATTCATATTGAAATATTTTTCAATATACTGGTTATTAATCCAAAAATTAAAATAAGGGCAAATAACATTTATAAAAAATATATCATCATAAAATCAGTTTTCATTATCTAGAATCATGGTTCTTAATAATGTGTGTCCATCTTGTTTTTCCAAGGCCTTTGCTTGTTTAAATAGCTCTGATGGCTCTTAGTTCTAAAATAGAATAATTTTTAAAAGCTAGATTTTTCTGATAGCTAAGAATGTGCTTTTAAAAAACACCCACAGTTTTTTTTTTCTACTTTGGGTGAAAATCTTTTGTGCATGTAGTGAACGTTTCTCTATTTTATGAAGAGAATATTCCAAACTTATTTCATCCTTTCTTAATAATGGGCAGTCTTTATAGATGTGAATTATTATACTTTACATACTAAGCATAGTTATGCTAAGTTTATTAAGTTTAGTAATAGTGACTACTCTCTTCTGTTATTCTGTTATACTTTAAATCTTTATTGAGCTCTTACTCAGTTATATGCTGAGTCTAGTGCTTTGCTTTCATTATTTATTTTTATCCTAGCTTTCTGTTCAAGGTTCCTATAAGCTAAAAAACTTTCTCAAGGACATAGAGCTAGTAAATGACAAAGCTTGTATTGGAACCCATGTCTGTTTAATGCCACATCCCACACTCTTAAACACTGTACATTACTGTATTCTTGCTCTGTCACAAAGAAGGTTACTTCTTATCCTCAGAACCGTACAAAAGGTGTTATTTTTATTTTAACAAATGCATTTCTGGCCAGGTACAGTGGCTCATGCCTGTAATCCCAGCACTTTAAGATGTTAAGGCAGGCAATCACCTGAGGTCAGGAGTTCGAGACCAGCCTGGCCAATATGGCAAAACCCCATCTCTACTGGAAAAAAAAAATACAAATATTAGCTGGGCATGATGGCACATATCTGTAATCCCAGCTACTCAGAAGGCCGAGACACAAGAATCGCTTGAACCCAGGAGGCAGAGGTTGCAGTGAGCCGAGATCTCACCACTGCACTCCAGCCCGGGTGACAGAGTGAGACTCAGTCTCAAAAGTGAAAAAAAAAAAAGCATTTCAAAGATGTTAAGTGATTTGGCCCACTGATAATGGTTTTAGATGCCAGTCAGCCAGGCTTGTTACAAATAATTTTTAAAGCTTATTCAACAACATTCATTAAGTAAATAAGCATACTCAAGTTAAAAGAAAAAAGAGCATGCTTATTTACTGTTCTTTTAACTTGGGTTTTTTGTTTGTTTGTTGTTGTTGTTGTTGTTGTTGTTGTTTTGAGACGGAGTCTCACTTTGTAGCCCAGGCTGGAGGGCAGTGGTGTGATCTCAGCTCACTGCAGCCTCCGCTTCCTGGGTTCAAGTAATTCTCTGCCTCAGCCTCCCAAGTAGCTGGGATTACAGGCGCCCGCCACCACGCCCAGCTAATTTTTGTGTTTTTAATAGAGACAAAGTTTCACCATGTTGGCCAGGCTGGTCTCGAGCTCCTGACCTCGTGATCCTACCACCTCGGCCTCCCAAAGTGCTGAAATTACATGCGTCAGCCACCGTGCCTGACCCTTAACCTGTTACTTTGAAATAATTTTAGGCTTAGAGAAAATTTACAAAATTAATACAGAGACATGCATGTTTATTTTTTCACACAGCTTCCCTTAATGTTAGTATTTTATAATTCTAGTACACTTATCAAAACTAAGAAATTGCTGTGAGTATAAGATTCTTAATTAAGCTGTAGAACTTATTTAGATTTCACCAGCTTTTCACTAATACCCTTTTTCTGTTCCAGGATTCATTCTGTCATCCCACATGGCATTTGTCATGTTCTCTTAGTTTCCTTCATGATTCTGAAGACTAGTCAGTTGCTCTGTATAATGCCTTTCAATTTGGTGAGGATGATGTCTTAGGATTAGAGTAAGCCTATGTATTTGGGGCAAGACTTCCCAAGAAGTGATGTGTGGCCTTCTCAGTGCATCATTTTAGGGGTTCCGTGATGTTGAGTATGTCTTAGGATTGGTAGTGTTAACCATGATCATTTGGTTAAGATACTCTCTGCTGGGTTTTTTCACTGTAAAATTACTATTTTCCCTTGGTACTTAATAAAGATTTTAGAAGAGATATACTCTGAAACTGTGCAGATATCCTGTTTTTCTTCAAACTTTCACCCACTGATTTTAGCATCCATTGGTGGATCTTGCTGGCATCAATTACTGCTTAATGTTTGTCTAATGGTGATTTTCTGTTTTCTTCATTTCTTTTACATTTATTGATTGAAAATCTTCTGTAGGGAAGATCTATACTTTCCTGATATATTTGTTGATAATTATTTATACCTGTGGACTCATTGTTAATAAATGAGGGTTTTATGAGTAATACTTGTAAACCTTAGGAGAGGAATATTGATATATTTAACTTGTAAACTTTGTTTTCAACTTCTTTTGTGTTAGGTAGGTACATGTATGCTTGGGTGTAGGATAATTAGCAATGCTATAATAATATTGTATGTATTGTTATATGAGGATTGCATTTTATTTCATGATTTCCTTTGGAGATAATTTTTAAAACATTGAGATTTCAAACTGCAGGATCACTAATTACTTGCATAACACCAAGCATAATTTTTTCCTAAACAATATGGTCTTTCTAGTTAACACTCAACATGATTTTCTTTATTGTTCTTTTTGCCTTTTTTATTTTGAATTTGAGGCACTTAGTATGATTTTTTTTTTTTATAAGTTATAGCCACATATCAGTACTTACCAGCATTGATAAGCAGTTCTTTACTATAAAATTAAAGTTTGTAAACCATTAAGTATAATTTTTGGTCAGACTACATGTCCTGTTGCTTTTTTGTTTAGTTGCTTTAAAATTATTTTCTAAACATATAGAATAACAACTGTTAAGATCTCATTTTTCTCCCCACTTACTCTGTCATTTGTTTCTTAAACTCTCTTTTTTTTAGTCTGTTTTTTGTATCCTTGTTAGAGAGAACAGATATATACTGTCTCTGAATGTACTTTTAATTATATTCTTCATGTAATTACATTGTGTAATTACAACTCAGTCACCTAATTTAGCACTACTTAACACACGTTAACTTTTGCTTTTTGTTCATTTTTAAGACAGGGTCTTGCTCTGTCTCCCAGGCTGGAGTGCAGTGACATGATTATGGCTCACTGCAGCCTCGACCTCCTAGGCTTACATGATTCTCCCACCTCCACCACCAAGTAGCTGGGACTGCAGGCACATGCTGCCACATCCAGCTAATTTTTTGTATTTTTTATAGAGATGAGGTTTCACAGTGTTGCCTAGTCTGCTGTCAGACTTCTGGGATCAAGCGATCTGCTCGCTTCAGCCTCCCAAAGTGCTGGGATTGCAGGTTTGGATCACTGCTCTGGCCACATGTTTACTTTCAACCAGTCAGGGTAACTGTTGTTAACATTTTAATATATAACTTTCCAGACCTTCTCTATGCACATATACTCGTTTTTAAAATTGATACACAGTATTCATACTGTGTGTACTGTTCTGTATGTAACTTGCTTGTTGACTTTATGATACCTAGTTTTTAGGCTTATTAAAAGATGACAGACATGGAACCAGCATGGAAAACACAATTAAAGGAAGTTTAAGAATGAAATGCACCAGCCATGGTGGCTTACACCTTTAATCCCAGCATTTGGGGAGGCCAAAGCAGGAGGATCGCTTGAGCCCAGGAGTTTGAGACCAGCCGGGTCAACGTGATGAAACCCCAACTCTCCAAAAAAATACAAAAATTAGCCGGGTATAGTGGCGCATACCTGTAGTCCCAGCTGCTTGGGAGGCTGAGGCAGGAGGATCACCTGAGCCTAGGAGGTCGAGATTGCAGTGAGCCACAGTCGTGCCACTGTATTCCAACCTGAGCAACAGAGTGAGACCATATCTCAGAAAAATGAAAAGAATCAAATGGTTCTTAAATTTATGGAGGACTTCCTTACAAATTTTTTTTGACCTCGTGATCCGACCCCCTCAGCCTCCCAAAGTGCTGGGATTACAGGCGTGAGCCACCATGCCCAGCTACAAATTTTTATATCCAAGTTTCTATAATCTTTTTTTAAATAAATGTGTTGTGGCCCACTATATTTATGTGGCATAATTTTGTTTTCAATGTTTTGACATTTAAAATATTATTACTATACTGGTACATTCATGTTATATATTTGATATATTTCTTTAGGTCAAATCTGTAGAAATAAAATTTCAGGGACAAATGATACACACATTTTTAAGATTTGATATGTTAATGCCAAAATGCCTTGTGTGGCTGGGCACAGTGGTTCACGCCTGTAATCCTAGCACTTTGGGAGGCCGAGGCAGGCAGATCACTTGAGGTCAGGAGTTTGAAACTAGTCTGGCCAACATGGTGAAATCCCATCACTACTAAAAATACAAAAACAAAATAGCTGGGCGGCAGGAGAATCACTTGAACCTGGGGGGCCGAGGTTGCAGTGAGCTGAGATCACACCACTGCACTCTAACCTGGGCGATGGAGTGAGACTC